TGAGGGCTGAACAGAAGTGGGACAAAGGGATGGTAGAACAAAGATGGGAGGTCAAGCAGGAGGTATACAACCAGGAAGTGAGGCACTTGTGAATTGAGAAGAAATTTGCCAGATGCCGGGTTTGGGCTCTTGAATTCCTTTTGTGAGCTCCCTTTGCAGCTGAGAGCAGGGCCTGGGGGGAGATGGGGGTAGGCACAGGCAGCTGATTCCTCCCACATCTTATTTGCTCATCTTGTGCAGTGATTGCCTCCCTCTTTGGGTTTCAGAATCTGGGGCCAGGAATTCGCATACCTGGGTTCCAGACTGAGCCTCACCAGTGAAAATCAATGTGACTTCAAAAAGTTCACACTCTTCCAGTTTTTTCATAAAAATAAGAATAATTATTCACCAATGGTACTCAATCACAGAATGATATGAGGGTAATATTAAATTATAAAAGTCAAAGAAGCACTCCAAATCTATTCTCTGGCCTTGGTTATAATGTAGCCCAAGTAAGATCAGATAAGTTCACATAATTCTCTAAGATAATAATAATAACATCAATAATACTAACCCTTACATAGAACTTACTATGCTACTACAACTTAACATTTCTGAGATACTTAGAGGAACCCTCACAACAACCTATGGGATGCATACTATTATTGTCTCCATTTTTCAGAGGAAACCAAAGCATCAAGATGTTAAGCAACTTGTCCAAGGTCATGCAGAAAGTGGCAGAGACGGGTACAAGCCCAGGAAGTCTGGCTTCAGAGCCTGTTCTTATCTGCTATGTGATAGTGCCTCTTGCCAAAGAATAAAAGAAAGCCCATAACCCAAGTTCCCAGGGTCCAGTAACATAGAACATTGTCTAGACATACATAACTATGAGTAAAACCAAACTGGGAAACTCCAGATTTGCCAGGCAGATAAAATAGGCGTGGGGTAGGGGTGAATAATCATTCTAAATATGCAAAAGGCCAAAAGTTAAAAACAAAACAAACTTCACAGAAGAACTAAGGTAGAACCCCATTTGATAGCAAGCTTCCTAGTATGTTTAAAATAAGATTCAATTTATAAGAAAGAATTAATACTTACCTTTTCAAAGGTTAATAGTTACTTGATTCTACATCTACCTTTAATCTGAAGGAGACAAGACACCAAGGTCTGTGTGTTAGATTGTTACAGGAATGAGTCATGCCTCTTTGTATTCCCACCTTGGATAGTCCCTTCTCACATTTGTTCTACATTTGGTAGGTGACTTGCTTTGGCCTTGGGACAGCAACACACATGATGCAAGTAGGGCTTGAAACTTACATGGACACTGGGACTTTGCTCTTAGAACACTCCTCCCATGGGGAGAGGCCTGTGCTAGCCTGATGAAGACAGGTAGTTCAGCCACCAGCCAGCACCAACCTCCAGTCATATGAGCAAGGCCATCACAGACCATCTAACCCCAGCCGAGCCTCCAGATAACTAGGGCTGCACGAGTGACCCAAGATAATACTAGCAGTAAAACCATCCATCCAGCAGAGCCTAGACCAGAGAGCTGACACACAGAACTGTAAACAAATAAGATATTTGCAGTTTGAAGCCACTAACTTTTGGGGTGGATGATTATGCAGCAAAGCTAACTGATAGAGCCCAAGTCTAAGGCATTTCAAGGAATAACAATAGCAATATGGAACCTAGCAATTGTTGGAGAGCTGGAGTATTTTCACAAGTAGGTAGGAGAGCCAGTGGCTCAAAACATGGAGTTAGAAGGTATTGATTAAGAGGATGTCATGCAGTGTCACTGCTGCTTTTACCTGCCTTTCATTCTCTGACTTCTTGGTCAAGCACGTGGGGAAAGTAAACCGATCTTCATGATCACACCAGTAGAAAAGAGGAGAAACTGTATCCTAAGAAAGACAACTATAATCTTTTGTATCTACTGGTAATAAAGTATTCTGCAACAGCCAGTGATATAATCGGCCACCTTTATAGCTACATGTTGCCTTCTGCTTCAGTCTGTCCCAGGCCATTATCATTACTCCCTTAGCATTACTGCTACCGATTGGAGAAGGTGAGGCATAGGACAGGGAAAGGACTCAACCAAAGACAAAGACAATTCCTCAGCACTGTAGAGGCAAGAGGCCTGCTAATCTTTAGTGACAGCAACACTGAGAATAAAACCATCATCCAATCCAGCTTATTCCGTTAAAGATGAGAAACATCCTGTACAGCAAAGCAAACCATCAACAAAATGAAAAGGCAACCTACTGAACAGGAGAAAATAATTGCAAATCATATATCTGATAAGGGGCTAATATCTAAAATATATAAAGAACTCAAACAACTCAATAGCAAAAAAACCAAACTGATTAAAGAACGGGCAGAAGATCTGAATAGACATTTTTCCAAAGAAATATCAATGGCCAACAGGTACATAAAAAGATGCTCAATATCACTAATCATCACGGAAAGGCAAATCAAAACCACAATAAGATATCACCTCATACCAGTTAGAATGGCTATCATCAAAAAGACAAGGAAAAATAAGTGTTGGGTGAAGATATGGAGAAAAGGGAACCCTTGTGCACTGTTGGTTAGAATACAAATTGGTGCAGCCACTGTGGAAAATAGTATGGAGGTTCCTCAAAAAATTAAAAATAGAACTACCACATGAACCAGCAATTCTGCTTCTAGGTATTTATTTAAAGAAAACAAAAACACTAACTCGACAAGACATATGCACCCCCATATTCACCACAGCATTATTTACAGTAGCCGGGATATGGAAATAATCTAAGTGTCCATTGATGGATGAATAAATAAATTGCGGTATATATATATATATATATATATATATATATATATATACACACACACAATGGAATATCATTCAGCCATAAAAAAGAATAAAATCTTGCTGTTTTAAATAACATGGATGGACCTTGAGGGCATTATGCTAAGTAAAATAAGTCAGACAGAGAAAGACAAATATTGTATGTTTCTCTTATAGGAGGAATCTTAAACAAAAAATAAGCTCATAGATACAGAGAACAGATTGGTGGCTGCCAAGGGTGGTAGGTAGGGGGTGGGAAAATGGGTGAATTTTTATTTTTCAGTTTAAATAAACTGAGTAAATAATAAGTAAAATCTAGAGTGGATTCCTGCGCATTTTCAGCATATTCTGTGCTAGGTTATGAAAATGAATCCTCTAAAATGGGAGATAATAATGCTTAGTAAATTCACATGATGCAGAATCTTACTTATTAGTCTAACTAATTAGACTAATCAGGTAATCTGTCAGTCATCAATATTTACTCAATGTCTCTTCAACTATCAGTGGTAATGGAGGAAAGCAATACTATAACCTACCTATACAAATCAGCACTTGATCAAAAAAAATAATCACCAACTAGTTCATCTGCAGACTGGGATTTCATGAAATGATGTTCTCTCACAGTTAGTGTGCCCTTCTTTTAACTGTTTTGTTCAGGCTGGTGCTGAAATGAGCTTGGATTTCTCACCATGCATGAATTAACGTGACAGAGAAGTGGCCGGGAAGTGTGCTGAGTGAGAAGAGAAATTGAGTTTGGGATTAGCATTTGTACAGCACTTGCTATACAAAGTCCTTCTGGCTTGATCTGTGGGCTGCTCAGGAAGCCCTTCTCACTGCACCATTTCTTACACTACCTTCTTGACAGTATCCCAGGGCAGAGGCAGCTGGCTTTTCACCCATGTGGAAACCTGCTTTGCTCACGTTATTACAGCCCTTTGATTCCAACATGCAAAAAAAGTCTTTTATACATTCCTTTCTGCCAGTTCTCCTAACAGACAGGTGAAAGCTGGGATGTTACCAAAAAAAAAAAAAAAAGAGAGATAGAGAAACAGAAGCAGTTAAAGGATGATTTGTCCATGACCACACAGCTAAACATAACTAAGCTGACTCATGAACTTGGCTAAATCCATGTGACGTGGGACACAGGATATGAGCATTGGGACCCAAAGGAGAAAACATATGATCCAAATTCTAGCTTAATAATCCTTCTGTTCTTGATTGATTTGAGAATATTGTCCAACTCATCACCAAAGGCAGCCAAGGAAACCACAAGGCACACTGACTATAATAATTTTTCAAACAATGGCTAGGAAACTTGGTGGACCAAAGGATAGGAGAGGAAAAAATCCATCACCATTTCATCACGATAAAGACTGATATTTACTTGTAAGCCTGCTTCTACTTCTATTAAAGAGCCAATTAATAAAGGCCACAAGTAGCATATTTTACTGAGGAAAGATGTTATGGCTTGAAGTATAAACAGTGGCTAACAAATGATTTTGCAAATCATTCCTAAAGCTAACATATGCATATATGTTAAACTTAACATATGTATATGGTCTTATTTCATACTCCAGGGAAAATGTCCTGATCCTTTTTCTACTTCTACCTTACCATGTGAACAAGTTATTAAGCCACTCCATTCACACTTATCTTCCACCTTAGCCCTTTCCTCGCTGTCCCCCAGCAGAACTGTTCCCCAAGTCTGCTGCAGAGCCTTCCAGAAACCTCCTGGAAGGCCGTTTGCTCAGTGACATTACTCCTTAGTTCCACCAGAGGTCGCCCTCCCACACAAGCCCAAGCCAACAGAACCCAGCTTTGCCTTCTTGGCGGCAGTGACATTATTTTCTTTCTCTATTTTTATCTATTAAAAAGATTTCTTCACAGCTATAACTTAGATCTCTACACTAAAATGGAGCAACAGGAAGATATAATGGTGCATTTCATTTATGAATGACCTATAATAAATTACTCTGAAGTGTCCCGAGTGCCAGAAGACAGAACGCTTTGTCTGCCCATGGACTGTATTTCACATACTTTAATTTAGCTGACACATAAAACTCATTTGACATTTCGCAGCTATTTGTGTGGGGCGGGGGAGGAGGGATGGTGCGGGGGAGTGGGGGTGGCATGCAGGAGGGGACTACTGTGGGGCTGGGCGGGGAGTGGGGGCAGCGGGCAGAACCAAGGATATTTGGTTCTTGTTGAGGGTTAAGGTATGGAGCCTGGGTAACCCTGGCAACACGAGGTCGTTCCCGAGCAGATTGTTGTCCAAGATGAGTTCCTCCAGGCTCTCGAACGCGCTCAGTCCTTCCAGTGACCTGCAATGACAAAGGCAACAGAAAAAATGATCCTGCACTAAATCAGGGAGGCCATTATGAGCCGAAATAAATATTTTAACCTTCCCTTTCAGGACTGGGAATAGTTTGGGCTTGGTGCCTGTCAGCAAAGTGAATGACAAGAATTAGTAGCAGGAGCCGGGGCGGGGCGGCGGAGGAGAAGGGGCCGCTGGCACTCACCGCATCCTTCACGCATTGCCAACATGAAGGATGAGGGTCACTTACTGAGTAGCCAGGATCCAAAACAAAGGGCTTCAGATACGGCCCGCAGGATAAATTTGTCAACGTCTCGTGCCTTCAGGCACCCAGCCTCAGCTGACCCTAACCTCCATTCCCAAGATAAATAACTCTGTCACAGTTCACCTTCATTCCCTGGACACAAATTTAAGTTGTCATCCATCATTTCTGCCCAGAAATATCATACCCCTCTTACAATAATAAATATAACTTCAAGTATCATTTCTTAGCAGTTCTCCTCTGTACAGTTGGAGGAAACTGCTGGGAAGGCTTCCTTTCGCCCCATTCGCTGCCTCTGACTTTCGTTTTCTCTGTGCTTTTTTTCTTTACTAATCACGTAATTTGCTTCTGCCCAGTGTCCCTGTGGCTGCCCCAAAAGGCAAGGCATCTGTGGAAGCACATGATCACTCCAGTTTGAAAAGGCTGTTTCTTTTTGTTTTTGTTTTTGTTTGCGAGCTGAGTAGAGAAGGGTTTGGGGGAATTTCTGTTTCAATGACCCTGCCTTGAAGTTACTGTTTTAATTTATGGAAAGTGGACTTCTCACTTTATTTTTGAAAGAAGTGTAGAGTGCAAGCGATGTAGATGTCGAGGGAGTAAATAAACAGGCATCAGAAAGAATTAAGCACCCGGCTCGGGGAAAACAAGTATCAGAAAGGGAAAAATAACCTTGTTTATACACTTAGCTGAAAGTTAACTCAATGTTATGGACTCAGGAGTGTTGGCGGTGGCAGTAGTGAGGGACAGTTGAGCACATGTGCTTGCCCGGGCGCACACAGACGATAATTAAAGACAGCCGCCCGATGGAGGGACTTACACAGAAACACACACTCCCAGCTCGTTCACCTGCCAGACCCAAGAGCCATGCTGAGCTTGCACAGGCTGACAGCTGAGCTACGACGTCGACCAGAGGGTGGGCTCGCATGGGACCTCCTGGCTATTATATAAAATGTGACGAATCAGGGAGATGTTGTCTACACTATTTATACATTTACTGATAGCACTTCCATTATAGACCTGCCTGCTTGCATGTGCAATGCCTTACACATCTGGTGTGCATGTGAACTTTAGCGCCAGAGCTTTCTCGAGGCATCCATCTCTCCCTTGTGGGACCTCTGCCAAGAGGACTCCAAAATAGGGAGTCAATACTTGGAAGGTATAATATGCATTGAGAATAAGTAATTAAATACCCAGATGCCACTGGGCCCAGAGCTCTGTCAGCATGTCCCACTCCTGCCTGACCCTCCGGCTGGTCCAGCCTGGGCTCAGCACCCAGACCACAACTATTCCTACAGCCAACACTACCTGCTCCACAGCAGGAGGGCAATACGGCTTACATTTTATGTGAAGGGTGCATGGGGTCATCAGATTTAATTTCCTCCTCTTCCTTTATCTACTTCCTCATGTTTCAGGGAGGCAAAACACAACTTACATACACGTAGTCAGGAAAGTCTGGGATTCTGCCTCAGCTCTACCATTTACTTGCACTGTGAATTTGGACATATCAATAACCCATCTGAATTCTCTTGTTCTGTGTTGCATCTGGCTCATAGGATCTTATAGAGAATGAGTGAACAAGGACTAACAAGTTACCAGCACTTGTTAGCGCTGTTTTCTTTCTTTTCCTTCCTCCTTTCATTCATTGTTTTTTCTGGCAGCCCTGACCTGGGCGGGGACGGTGTTCAGGATGCAGGGGATGGGCAGATGAACAAATGTGCAAAGGTGTGCAGTAAGTCTAGCTTCTGCAGGGAAACTTCGACCTTTGCTGAAGTCCCTTCCTCCATGGGGTTTAATGAGTGATGATCCAAAAGAGCGTTTCAGGACTAGGCCCTGTTTACCAAAAGGGGAATTGAGGCCACCTCCCATCAGGGCACCTCATGGATGGCTAATAAGTCCTTTGTGCACAAACATCAGTTGGGCTCTGGTCAAGGGCAGCATCAAAATACACATTGTTCTCAAGTTATGTTATGCAAATATAATACTCTTATCATAGAATCAGCAGATGGTGGGCAACTGGCAAGCAGAAGAAAGCTCCCTTCCAAGAGTGCTTCAGGGGAGGCATACGACAAAATGACACAGCATGAAGAGGGCTGAAGGCCGCAGAGACTGCCTTTCTCTCAGGATGGGCTCTGGGGCAAAGCTCCATACCTGAGTGAGCCTTCAGAGAGCAGTCGGGCAGCTCCGGCTCAAATCCTGTCACCTGTCTGGTTTTGAGATTCTTTTTGCCATGCAATGTTATTAGCTGCTCACTTAAAAGAAAACCATGTTACAGGGCGGGGGGGGGGGGGC